AGGACAGACTGCTATTGATAACAGCAAGAATCACCTGCCTGATGCTGGAAAACACCTCTTTTAAAAGACGAGGGGGGACAAGGTCACGAGGAGAACCTGATGGTTTAATATGGCCGACCACATCCTCTAAAAGAGTCAGGGTCACTGGTTCGAATCTATCGAACACAGCCAGGCAGGGGACCAAGCAGGAGGGGTCAAAAGCAGGGGCTGAAATAAGGGCCCTTGTGGTAACAACCTTATTTATCTTATGCTGCTTTGAACTAAACCTGTGCTGTTTTTAACATGAGCTTTGCTATTGTTAGCTTCTAGCTAGTCTTTGCAACTTTTTGAATTTAGCTAGTTTTTTCCTCCTGTTAGAGACCAAAATATGATCTGTAAGAGAGGTAAAGCAAGAACTTCGTTAGAGACCAAAATATGATCTGTAAGAGAGGTAAAGCAAGAACTTTGTTAGAGACCAAAATATGATCTGTAAGAGAGGTAAAGCAAGAACTTCTGACCTAAGTGACCTCTCAGAGTTCAGCGCGCAGCATTCATGCTACATTTTGCTAACAGACAGAAGTCGAGTCCAATGTTTTAAACAAAGATCATGTTCAATCTATTACTGTACATGTTTGTAACGGGGATGACTATCAGCTACTACCACACTGTATTTTAGCTCATTATTTGAAATAAATCACTGACTTATGCTCAGTTTTGTGTTTGCTAATGTTTATTACCTGTGGTGGCCATCTTGAATTAGAATGACTCTAAGGCTGTAGGTTTACAGCCAATAATTACTTTCTGAGAATTCCATTAAAGTCCATCCAACAGCCCGTGATATATTTTACTAACAGCAATTACATGATCACCTCCCTTTCTAGGCGATAATAAACACAAACAAAAGGCAAGCGGACATGTTGTTGTGGTTAAATATTTTATATAAAAAATTTTTTTTTTTAATTTCACATCAGGTCAGATAATGAAAATCTGAGACAGAAATCTTTTTAAGATTTCCTGGTCATTTTCACACCCATCACTCTGAACGCCTCGCTGTTTGTGTGTGTGTGTCAGTAACAGTCCACTATGACCTCCTGTGAGTCCAGATGAGTGTTGGTTCTGCTTGCAGTCAGTATGTCCTGCAGCAAGGAGAGGGGAGAGTTGTGAACGTGGTCGCTGCTTTGAGTCAGTACGGCCAGCCTCTCGTCTAACCCCAGACGCCTCAACGCCTTGCACACCTCGACCCGCACAGTGTCATCTTCCTCCTCCTTCTCACAGCAGTCTTCAGAACTGGGCCCATCAGCACCGTCACAGCTGCTCATAGCGGCGGTGGTTCTCAGCATTCTTCTCACCTCCCGGGCCCAACCACAGCCTGGCAGTTCACAGGACGCTCTGCTGTCTGTTAGCAGGGCATCACATGCATCCTGGTCTCCTAGCAACAGAGGACAAACTGTGTCTCTGAGTCTTATCAGCAGCTGACAGGCCTTGAGTCCAACGGGTCTGTCACAGTCAACCAGGCCACTCAACAGGGATGAGAAAACTCCCTGATCCACCAAACTGTTCAACATGGTGACCGAGTCGGACTGCTCAGTTTGAGTGTGCATCTCGGTGTGCGAGGGACGTTCAAAACTGCAGTTTGACGTCACGGCGTAGGGGTGGCGACGACTTTCTGAGGCTCGGTTCAGCAGTAGCTCAGCCAGCTCCAGCGTGTGAACTTTGACCTCCCAGTCCAGGTCCGCCATGCCCCGCGAAAGGACGGCGGGGACGGACTGCGCGAGGAGCGAGCAGGAGGATGGCGAGGAGCACGAGGAGAACCAGGCGATGAAGAATTGAACAACTGCCCTCCTGGAAAACCCCTCTGTGTCCTGGGAGAGAATCTCAAGCAGCCGGGTCACGATGTCAGCCTGCGAGGACGAAGAGAAGTAGTTTAAAACCTGGGAAGATGCTTCTGGATCCTTCATGCAGAGAAACGTCAGCCCACCTCCTCTCGGGCGAGCCCTGCGCCCCGGTGCCAGCTGTGAGCCAGAGTCAGCGCCAGAGCAGAGACGGAGCTGGCTCTCACGTAACTCTCAGGGTCCTGCAGCGCCTCCTGGAGGAGAGGAACGGTAACGCAGCGGCCGCCCAGCAGAAACTCACATGCCTCCTGATAGGCTGACGTCTGAGAGGCGCCCACCGCGGCGAGGTGTCCCAGAAACTCCACGGTCGAGTCTCTCACCTCCCAACGCACGTCACACACACGCTTCCTCACCACCTGAAGGAGATCTAACGGAGGAGCGTTACAGGACGCTGCACATGCAGATCTATCACACAGGAGTTATATGAGCTGCAGGGAGGGGGCTGTACCTGTTCTGATCTGGTCTGTTACATCAGAGAGGTTTGAACAAACACTGATCCATTTTATTAGAACCTGGTACGACTTCTGAATCACCTGGGAGACACAAACAGAGCGGATCAATTATTTATTCAGTATTCCTCACTTGATGTCTTATTGTTTCCGGTGTGACATCACACAAACGTTCACACAACAGTCTCTGGTAGCTTCACTGTTTATGTAATCGGTCTAACTGGTGTGAGCTCTCAACCTCTCCTCTGCTCTAGAGCTGCAATTTCTGGCCTGAGACTGAGCCCGATCCGGCCCGCTTGGTCTGTAAAATGGTTTTACGAATCATACAACACAAAGAAAACTAAATAAGAATGCACGGTATAAAATTGTGCTAATGTATTTGTAAAGGAGGAGGCAGTGAGTTTACTATGTTTTGGATGAGGAAAGTAATAAAATAGAATGCAGAAGTTAATCAGACTGAGAAAAGAGAGAGCGCGGGCGCACTGCGCAACAATTGTGCATGCGGCCCCGCCTGCCCTTCGCTCTTATCACACATCTGAGGATTTGCAATTGACCCACAACAAGCGACATGACGGAACTGGAAAGTATTAAACAAAAGCTAAAAACGGGAGAACTCACTCTACAAAGTCAGCACAGTGAAACCTGCTGATGTGTGTCAGGTCAGGTGCACGCTCAGGTCTGACCGGCCGGTTGAAAAAGGTAAAAAAAAAAAAAAAAGTCCCGTGAAGCTCCCAATGAATCACCGGATCATCGGCCGCGCACGTCCCGCTACGCACCCTGCTCTCATCCGCGGTTAAGGAAGTTGCAGCATCTGAAGCTACAAAAGCCGAAGCGAGCAGCGCGTTCAATTAAAATAGCCTTGTTCTATATTTTTTCAAATAATTTTGCTCTAAAAATATTTTTGTTCATCTGTATAAGTTATCTTTAGAGTTGTTTTTTTAGGCTATTTGTTTTGTATGTTAATATCCATTTAATGACTTGTTAATAAACAATAAATCTTATATCTTCCTTTCTTTGAAATACATTTTTTAATATATCATGTCAAACTGATTTGTTTACAAAAGCAGTCAAAGCTTAATTAAAACAACATGTCGGGTTTGCTTTGGGTTCGGGCTGCAAAATACAGTAAATTAGTCGGGTCGGGCTCAGAAACAATGCCTTTGGGTTTCAGGTCGGGCCGGATTTTTTTTGCCCGAATGTGACTCTACTCTGCCCTGAGAACAAGCGACTCGATTGTCTCTCAAAACACTCTCTCATCTCTAACTGAAGGATGTTTCTTTGATGCCCGTGAACCGTTTGTGCAGACAGAGTTGTGTGAGGTGGCTGCAGCCAGCCCACTGAACCACAGTGAACTCTGCTGAGCTGAAAACGTTATAAAAGTCAGCAGATAACACGGCTCACAGCTCATTTCTGTGACTGGTTTCATGCATATACATTTATGTATGTTTGTGTATGTAACCTGTCCTTAAATCTGCCTTAGCAAGTTAGCAAGTAAAACGCCAGTTAAAAATCTTCACCTGCCATATGTTGTGGTTCTTTTGAAGAAACAACGCTGGAGAAGGAGAGAATTTCTCCAACACCTCTACAACTAATCAACCTTAGTACAAACAAAAACTCCTTTAACTTGGTCAATTTTAACAGCTGAAAATGTGGTGTGGTAGTAGCTGAGAGTCATCCCCATCACAGACTTTGAGCATTAATAGATTGTGTGAGATATTTATTTAAAACTATGGCATTAACTGTTGGGAGCCAACTGTGTCTATTAGCAAAATATTTCATGAACCACTGGACGGATTTTAATGAAATTCTCAGAAAGTAATTTTTTGGAGTTAAACCCAATTCAAGATGGCTGCTACATCTTTCTGACCTCAGCAAACAGCAAAATGGCAACAACTCCGTCAGTTTTACAGATGTTGACTATAACACCAATTCTGAAAAAGTTGGAACATAAAATAATAATAATAATAAAAACAAAATGCAATGATTTGCAACTTTCATGAACCAACATGATCTTCACACAGGAACATAGTACGGATCTTTCTGATGCTTCTTGTTTTATTTTTGGAACCCAAAGTGACACTAAAACCAGAACTAGAAAGTTCCTGGAGTAACTTTGATGTGGACTGCCACGAGGCTGCCAATTGAAATTTTTGATTTGACAGGACTATGTATTGGGGTTCGCTCTCAGCTACCACTATACAAATTATCAGCTCAATATGGCAAAAAATAAAAAAATCAACAAGTTATAATCATTTTTTCTTTTAAGTTATGGCAGACGTCTTGGATTTTTTATTATTTTTTTGGATCCAGTATGTGATAGGGAACGTTTTCAGCTAAAACCTCACCAAATTTCAACTATAAGTGTAAAAATAGCTTAGTTAAAGCCATTTAAATGTAACTTTGGTGGCCATCTTGGATTTTTGATTCTGTATGTGATGGGAAACATTCTCATTTATCACTACACAAAGTTTTAGCTCAATATCTCTAAAATTAGCTGATTTATAGTATTTTTCCTTTTTAGCTCAGGCGGCCATCTTGGATTTTTGATTTGCATTAGGAATGCATGAAAACGCGCCCTCAGCTACGACCAGAGGAAATTTCAGCTCAGTATCTCAAAGAATGAAAGAGTTTTAACATTTAGAATAAATCAGAAGCTGTTGAGTTCCGTCAGGCATTTTGATAAAGAAAAATGGCAGCTTTGTTTGCAAATTATGTCGCCATGGTAACTTCAAATGCCAATAAAAGTAACAGCACACATCACAGTGCTGAGCCAGTCGTTTTGATATAACAACTGTGGGGTTATACATTGTGGTTCGGGCCTCATTAAAAGTTGACAGAAGACTAAGATATAAAGTTAAGAAACCATTGTCAGGTGGATAATAATAGGTGCTGCCTTACTAAGCAGTCCCCAATTAAATATTGCTCAAATTGCAAACAATGTAATGATCTGTATAAAAGCATTAAACATCCATCCATTATCTTTACCCGCTTATTCCATTTTTGGGTCACGGGGGTCGCTGGTGCCCATGTCCAGCAATCACTGTGCGAGGGGCGGGGTACACCCAGGACGGGTCGCAAGTCCATCACAGGGCCACATAGAGACAAACGAGACAAACAACCATTCACTCACTCACACCTAGGGACAATTTAGAGTTACCAATCAGCCTAACATGCATGTTTTTGGTCTGTGGGAGGAAACCGGAGTACCCGGAGAAAACCCACGCATGCACAGAGAGAACATGCAAACTCCACCCAGAAGGCCCCTGGACCGGGGTTTGAACCAAGGACCTGCTCGCTGAGAGGCAGCAGCTCTACCAGTTGCGCCACCGTGCTGCCCAGCATTAAACATCAAAGATTTATTTTTTAAATGACAACTGTAGCTGTGATCAAACACATGAACTTACTGTGGGATCAGAAGCAGGACTGTTCAGATACTGGATCAGAAGTGTGAACACCTCAACCAGCATGACACGTATTCCTGAAGAAAATAAAAAAAAAAAAAAACACAGAAAAACAACCAAAAAGGATCATAATTTGAAGTGTTTGTATTCATTTATGTTCCTTCTTATTTCTTTAGCTTTTTCAGGAGCAGAAAGAAAGTGGTCGTTATTTCTCCATGTTGGGCTACAGTGATGTTATAGAACACTTTTCCCTCCTTACATTAAAAAGAAATGGACTCAGAACATCGTTCAGCGTTTATAAGAGACGAGTCAGCGTTTCATTCTGTTTGGAGGACGACTCGCTGTAGGTTTACTCACCTGAGCTGCTGCTGAGAGCTGACAGAGCATCTAGAGCACACTTCTGGACTCTGCCGCTGCCGGTGACACTCCTGAACACTTGAGCACAGCCAGAAGACGAGGGAGAGAAGTCCCCGCTGCACAGCTTCAGTAAGGACAAAACCGCCGCAACTATTTCATCCGGAGAACAGGGGAGGCAGTCAGGAGCCTGAGGGGGGGAGGGAGAAAAATAAGAGGCTTGGAAATCTAGCTCTTCTTGCTCTCCTGTGCGTGTTACCTGTGGTAGATTTGTTAGACTGACACAAATCATGGAGACACAGGAGGTTTTACTCTTGAGCTGCTCCATGACTGAAAACCGGAGCTGATCCGCTGCAGGGACAGAGATTAGCTGTAAAACATCTGTTTTAGTTGTACAATGAGCACATCTGTTGAGTGTTACCTGTGCTGTTTGTCCTCAGCAAAGTGAAGCCGGTTATGACGTCAAGAGGCAACAGCAGGACTCCTGCGCACTGAGCTCGGTGCTCACGATCGCTGGACAAACAAGCACACGGAGAAAACCTGATTAAATGCAACACGCTCGATTCGTCCTCGGACGTGCACGCTGTTTCTACAGATGAAGGTGAACCAGCAACACCGCTGAGCGTCTGAACCGAAGCTTACCGATGGCCACTGCGGAGGAAAGCTGCTGCGGCGTGAACGAGATCAGCAGGTTTCCTCACGTTCAACATGGAGGACAGAAGACAAGCGACGCGTTTGTCTGGAACGTGTTCGCCACTTCCACAGCTGCTGAAACGAGCAGTAAACAATCAACAATATTGATATGAATCCTGAGAAACACCTTAAAATCACAACACTGATGTGCATTTATTATACGCTGTGCGTAAAAAAAAAAAACATTCAAACAATTTCTTTCTATTGTGTGGAACTGACACAGCATGGAAACCACAGCTAATCCACCATAAGACATAAAAATGACAATGATTCAGTGAGACGTATAAAGTTTGAGCTAAAATTTGAACTGGTTCGCTGAAAATTACACATCAAGTGCACACAGACTTTTGTTAAACTGTTGGCATGAAGGCGATGGGCAATATGGATTTGTTCAACCCATATTGTATAATAATTTATTCCATACTCTCTAAACTGCTAGTTTCATTGAGCTCCATCTTGAGGATGAACTTGGTGTTTAGTGGTACTAACGTGAACTTGTTGGCTACACATGAAGAAGCCAGGTGCCAAGGCAGGAATAAGACTTTTGTTAATCTGTGCACACGCAGGTTTCCTAACGAACATCATTCTGTTAAAGAACAAAACAATTAGGGATGCACGCTACGGTAGTCCCTCGATAATTCGCGGTTCGTTTATCGCAGACTCGCTCTATCGCTGTTTTTCAAAATAAGACTGGACATGACACACAACTGGTTGACTGATGGATGAGCTGCACGATCGGCACGGAGTTTTTATTTAAAATAAATTATTTTAAATTATTTAGCACCTGTTGCAGCCCACAGCTGCAGAAAAAGCTTCCTGCTGCAGCTGATCTCCATGCAGAGCGGCAAAAGTGGGCGTGGCCAAGAGTGCTTGCAGGTGGCTGAGAGCAGCCGGAGACAGACAGACGGACGGATGGACGGACATACATACATATATATAAATAAACTACTACTTACTAGTTGTACTACTATTCCTACTTTGCGGTTCTTCAGTTAACGCGGGGCTTCAGGCTATGGATCCCCCACGATAAACGAGGGACTACATTATTCTGGATGGTCTTTATCAATTTGGCCTGCTACCAAATGCAGATGCCAAAAAGGGGCCTGAAAACATGTAACACTATATAAATATATAATATATATAGTTAAGAGCGCATTTTATATCAGTGTATTATTTTGATGGAATGGCCGATGTCCGATATTTAACTTTATCGCTAATATCGGACGATACCAATACCACGCCGATAATATCGCGCATCCCTAAAAACAATAGATTGTTGTATGGGTTCTGTGGGTGGACAGCACCTAAACCCTTGATTCGCCTGTGGTGTTGTGCTGAACTCTGTTTCCTCGGCTCTGCACTAAAAACACAGCTCAACACAACACCTAGTGATGCAGAAAATATTGCAAATCTCTGCATAGTTAACTGGCTAAAGGGAATAGCTTTTTTTGTTTCTACACCTTTACCTTGTTTAGCTCTGTTGCTATAAACTCTGCGTTCATTTTATTGGATAAATGTCTGTATGAGGCAGTAAATACCTGTGTGCAGCCAAAATGACGTCCATCAGAGGCAGCGTGAGTTGACTGTAGTTTGTCGTCACCAGTTCCTCCAAAATGTCTGAGACAGCCAGCAGCAGTCTGTCCTTCAGAGGAGGCCCAGCCTGGGTCAAGAGCAGGGCCAGCAGTTTGAGAACCTGTCGACTCCGATGAAGCTGGGACGTATCTTTGGGAACCAGCGACCTCTTTAGGTACTCGCAAACATCCGTGACAACGGTGCTGTACTTCTGGTCGGCTTCCACGGGGATGGTTAAGAGTTTCGAGCCAGTTTGTTGGTGTGTGTCGTGACATCCCACAGGCGGCGAGACAGACTGACAGAAGAGCAGCACGTGAGCGAGCATTTGATTGGCAGCTGAAGCAACAAACAGGCTTGTGTCTGTCTGAAGCTGGAGGAGAGGTTCAGTGAAGTCTGGAGTAAAAAAAAATCACACAAAGACAGACATGTGAACTGAAAGACATAAAAGATAAAATGATCATTGTGAAATATGACCAAAGAAAAAAAGAGATTATTTAGTTTCCTGTGAGATGTGGCACCTGCTTGAACAAAGAAACTGAAAGCCTTTGAGTGCTGCAGCATTGTCCTCAAGCCCTGGATCCAACCGATCCTGAAACATGGATCCTCCCAGAGTCCTGCTTCCTGCCAGCGAAGAGAGCCAAAGACCAGGTCCAAGACCGAGCCCTCCTGCAACAGGAACAAGGACATGTGCTAACTTAAGATGGTTTATTGTTACGAGTTGAGAGGGGGAAAAAAAAAAAAACGGGCTCAAACCTGAAGAACTTTAAAGCCGTCCTCAGTGGAGGCCAATAAGCCGGTGAGTTTCAGCGTGAAGGACAGGATGCCGGGGTCAGAGGCGGTGTCGTTGGACACCACAGTGGATATGAACTCCAGCAGACAGGGACAGGCCTCCAGCAGATCTATGCCTGGTGAAAGACCATGAAACCGTCACAATTTTTATTATAGACATCATCAAATTTAGACATTTAGTTGCACAGGTTGTGAATTCTAAACATGCAACATTCAGTTACGGAGATAAGTTGAGTCATTTATGTCTTTTTAATATGAAATACTCTGTAAATTAAACACAACAATAAGGTACAACATCAGTGAGCCATACTTCCCTAAGACAAGCCAAATTATCATAAAATAGACCAGATCTTAGAGGCAGATATCAATTATTCACTTCCTCATAGTTAAAATGAACTTTCAGCTGCAAAAAACACTTTTTTTTTTTACCCACAATTAACACTTCAGACATCATAAACATAATTCTTTCTGTAACAAAATGACACTTGCACTTCATGCTTTAAGCTCCACATATTAACAAGAACATTCTTAATATTGTGGAAATCTGATTCTTACAAAGAGAAAATCACGTTTCCGATATTTACAGTCCCATTATTAGATATCATAAATTTCATTATAGATATCTAAAATGAAAAACTATTCCAGATATTTCCTATGCATGATTCTAAATATTAAAAATACACACAGACACCAATAATTAGAATAATGACTGTCATATTAACCAGATTTTTAAGATCTCTGTTAAACCTGATGGGAAGTCATTATAACAAAATAATGGGTGAATTGAAAATTTATGACAAGTAATGACAATAATGTAAATATCTGAAATTAAATTTTTTTATTTCAAGGATTATATTCTAGAGATCGATAATGTTTGTTTTAGAAAGGATGTAACTAAAAGATGTTCAGTAAACATAAAAGGTGATGTAAACTGTTTTGGAAAGAACGAGATGTTGAGATTTTTAGAAAGAGTAGAAAGAACTGAATTATGGTATCTACAGCACAAATTCAGTCAAATAAATACAAACCGGATTCCAAAAAAGTTGGGACACTAAACAAATTGTGAATAAAAACTGGATGCAATGATGTGGAGGTGCCAACATCTAATATTTTATTCAGAATAGAACACAAATCACAGATCAAAAGTTTAAACTGAGAGAATGTATCATTTTAAGGGAAAAATCTGTTGTTTCCAAATTTCATGGCGTCAACAAATCCCAAAAAAGTTGGGACAAGTCCATTTTTACCACTGTGTGGCATCCCCCCTTCTTCTTACAACACTCAACAGACGTCTGGGGACAGAGGAGACCAGTTTCACAAGTTTAGAAATAGGAATGCTCTCCCATTCATGTCTAATACAGGCCTCTAACTGTTCAATCGTCTTGGGCCTTCTTTTTCGCACCTTCGTCTTTATGATGCACCAAATGTTCTCTATAGGTGAAAGATCTGGACTGCAGGCTGGCCATTTCAGTACCCGGATCCTTCTCCTACGTAGCCATGATGTTGTGATTGCTGCAGAATGTGGTCTGGCATTATCATGTTGAAAAATGCAGGGTCTTCCCTGGAAGAGATGACGTCTAGATGGGAGCATATGTTGTTCTAGAACCTGAACATAGTTCTCTGCATTAATGGTGCCTTTCCAGACATGCAAGCTGCCCATGCCACAAGCGCTCATGCAACCCCATACCATCAGTGATGCAGGCTTCTGAATGGAGCGTTGATAACAACTTGGGCTATCCTTGTCCTCTTTGGTCCAGATGACATGGCGTCCCAGTGTTCCATAAAGAACTTCAAATCGTCAAGTCAAGTCAAGTCAGATTTATTTATAGAGCACATTTAAAACAGAAACTGTTACCAAAGTGCTTAACAAAAATATCACATCATCAGATAAAAAGTAGCAAGATATATTTACAGCACATGGAATAAAAATATAAAACCAAAAACAATTAGAAACAATGAAATACTAAATCAGATCACGTTGTGTCAAAAGTCAAGGAAATAATAACAAAAAGCATAAACTCAGTCAATCGTGACTCATCTGACCACAGAACAGTCTTCCATTTTGCCACACTCCATTTTAAATGACCCCTGGCCCAGTGCAAACGTCTGAGCTTGTGGAGCTTGCTTAGAAATGGCTTCCTCTTTGCACTGTAGAGTTTCAGCTGGCAACCTCGGATGGCACGGTGGATTGTGTTCACTGACAATGCTTTCTGGAAGTATTCCTGAGCCCATTCTGTTATTTCCTTGACAGTGGCATTCCTGTTTGAGGTGCAGTGACGTTTAAGGGCCCGGAGATCACGAGCATCCAGTAGAGTTTTATGGCCTTGACCCTTACGCACAGCGACTGTTCCAGATTCTCTGAATCTTTTGATGATGTTATGCACGGTTGATGATGATAACTTAAAAGTCTTTGCTATTTTATGCTGGGTAACACCATTCTGGTATTGCTGCACTATCTTTCTGCACAACAATGGTGGAATAGGTGATCCTCTTACCATCTTGGCTTCTGAGAGACACTGACACTCTGAGAAGCTCTTTTTATACCCAATCATGTTGTCAATTGACCTAATTAGAGTTAATTGGTCTTCCAGCTGTTCGTTATATGCTCAATTTCCTTTTTCCAGCCACTTATTGCTACTTGTCCCAATTTTTTGGGATTTGTTGACACTATGAAATTTTGAATCAACATATTTTTCCTTTAAAATGTTACATTTACTCAGATTAAACTTTTGATCTGTCATCTATGTTATATTACGAATAAAATATTGACATTTGCCATCTCCACATCATTGCATTCAGTTTTTATTCACAATTTGTTTAGTGTCCCAACTTTTTTGGAATCCGGTTTGTAAATGTACAATTTGTATCTATCCTAAACATCTTTTTAAAATTGTTTGTAGACAAACTTCTTTAAGTCTGAGGTTGTTGTTTATAAGTGTGAAAAGGTGAAATGCTTCCTTCGGTTCAGAGCTCAGTTATCTGCTTCTTTATGAGTGATGGCAGGATGAAGTGGAAGACGAATCGACAGACTGGAGCCTCGTCTGCAGTAATGAAGGAGTTGCTCCAGTCTGTCCAGTCAAAAGCAAGCTGACCCCAAAAGCAAAGCTCTCAGTTTACTGATCCTTCTATGTTCCAAACCTCACCTATGTGTAGATTGTGATAGAAAGAAGGATATCCCAGATATAAACAGCTTAAATGGACTTCCTTACAAGGGTGGCCAGGCTCATCCTTAGAGATAAGGTAATCTGTGCCTTTCTGGAGGGGAGCTTGAAGTAAAGCCACTAGGTTGACCTAGAATTTTCTGGAGATCTTCTCTGGCCTTGGAAAGCTCCATGAGGAGCTGGAGATGGATGCTATCGTGGCTGGGCTTTCCTCCTGGGACTGTTGCCTCCAGGAACCAGCTGTGGATGAGGTTAAGGAAATGGATGGATTTTCCAAATACAACTGTGCTGTACGTGTTAAAATATAATTTTTGCTTCAAATGTTATTTTACTTTCAATTCTGAATAGTAATATTTGTATTATTTTTTTACCAGGCATAATATTATTAAAATGTACAAAATTAGAGTTGTGTGATTTTATGTTAAAACGTCCTGCCATACAATAAGCAATACCTTTTTAATTTTGCCTGATTTGCACCCATGTAGCTATTTTCTCTGTCATCAACTGGGTCAGCTAATAGTTAGCAATAGAGAGGAAAAAGTAGTAAAGCAGCGAGAAACACTTGGCGCACTAAGACCTATCCCAGTCCAGTGTTACTAACCAGCCTTGGTCTGAGCTGAGAACCAGTCCAGCAGTTTTTCCAGGCTGGTGTCATCGGGCAGAGAGCTTCCTGAGGCCGCCAGCACCTCACACACCCGGGGCAGGACTGACACACACTCTCTGTCCATGGTGCTAACGTGGGTTCATTCACGTACAAAACCGTAGTTAAAACGCGAGCTACACCATAAAGTGGTACTGCTAGACAAAAAAAAAGGTAAAATGTTTTAGCTAATCAGTTCGAGGTCTGAGTAAATCTCGCGGGAAACGTTTAGCTTTTCTTCTTTCAATGTAACAAAAAAGAAGAAAAAAAAAAGGCGAACGGGAGAAGCGGCTGCGCTGTTCATAGATCTCTAAATAGCCCAGAGAATTGAATCAGGCTAAAACGGCTATGTGCATGCAGTCACTATGTTGTCGAGCTCTACTTTTTATACGCAGGTTGCACACGCTCCTTCGTGCAGCTTCCGGCGCAGCGTTTCCGTCTTTTCGTCCATTTTCGCACATGGTGCTGCACCGGCCGAGCCTCGTTAGCCGCATATTTCTTGGGATTTCCCTCTCTTGTAGAGAGAATTCAGACTTGTTCTCCAGTTAAATGCAAGATACGGCGGCTATGATGGACGACCCTGAGTATGATGAGGATGAAGAGGAGGAACCTTCCTTCAGCGACCCGGAGGACTTCGAAGATGACGTCGACGACGAGGGTGAGCGGGCAGCAGGAAAAACGCCGGCTTTCTGGCCTGCTAGCTAACCGTTAGCTTCGAGACCAACACTAGTGGTGCTTCAGAAATGATAGAAGTATGGACGCTAATTTATGCGTCACCACATTTTGATAATAAAACTTGACAAACAAAAAATATAAATAAAACAGCGTCGCAACCGCATTTCTGTAGGCTACCCCCACCCAAAAGATATCAAAATTCCGTTAACGTCAGTTCAGCTTCATCCACACCCCAGAAGCTTCTCCCTCTCCGGCCTCTGAGCTTTTGAAAACGGCGTGTTGAAATTGAGAATACCCATTCAAGTTGTTTGAATGAACAAACAAACAAACCATGATCAGGTGAACTCGAGTGTTTAATAATTCGCATTACAAAAGCTGGTAATATTAACAATCCTCAGTATTTAGGACTATTTTTGTGTGTTATTGTAGTAGTGCATCACTACTTCCCTTATTATTCAAAGTAGATTTTAAAGACATTTCATGAGTAATCAAACTGAATTGGTCTAGTTTTTTTTTTTTTTTTGGTCGTTCAACCATTATTTATACAGGTTAGTCTCGTTGAGTCACGAGGACTCATTTACAAGAGACCTGTTTTAAACACAAAAAAAACATAGATGAGGTATACACAACAATAAACAGTCAGAAAATACATATAAAATGAAAAGTAAAAGTAGTGATATTGAACAAAATAAAAACAATCTACATTATGAAACTGAGTAAAATACTAAAAACAAGAACATGGCTGCATTGATTTTTGCATTGAACTTAATTGTTTAAAATCCCATAGAGAGGTCAAAGTCGACAGCTTCAGATCTTTTTGCAAGGTGTTACAGGAGCAGAGTAAGAGAAGGCTCTTTTGCCAAATTCTGTCCGCACTTAGTGGACGCTGCAGGTAATATGTCTTGAGAGTGCATGCTGTAACTGCACTGACAAAGTGACATGTAGGTGGAGATGTATGAAGGCAGCAGACCAAGGAGTGATTTAAGTATTAAAATGTTCCAGTGTGAGAGCCTGCATGAGGTTAATGATGACCAGCTAACCAGTGAACTCAGGGTGCAGTGATGAGTACGGTAGTTACAGCCAGTTATGAATCTTAGCGCACTGTGATAGACAGCATCCAACATCTGCAGGGTGCTTGTAGGAGCGTTCAGGTAAATAATGTCACCATAGTCAATGGAAGGAAGGAACCTAGCAGTTACAAGGCGTTTCCTAGCATTCAGAGTTAGATAGTATCTTTTTCTGAAAAAAGAAACACGATTTTAATTTCAGTTTCTTTTATCAAGTTTTCGACAGGCTTAAAAGAGAGAGATGTGCATCGACCAAAATTCCCAAGTATTTGTAAGAATCCACAAACTCAATGGGAACACCATTCATAGATAAGATGGGAGGAAGGACTGTTGGTACCACCTTTCTGTTTGAAAACAACATCCCTTTGGTTGCATCAACATTTAGCACCAGTTTGAGACGGAACAAATCTGACTGGATGACGTCGAATGCAGACTGTAAAAGCTGGAAAAACTTAGCAACTGCTTTAGCTTGACAATAAACAACTGTATTGTCAGCATAAAAATTAAAGAATGCATTAGGGATGATCTGACCTACATTACTTATGTAAATTGTAAAGAGAATGGGTCTTAAGACTGAACCTTGTGGTACACCATTGTTAAAAGTTAAATAACTGGAAGAAGTACCATTGTGTTGAACACATTGCCTCCGATCTGAGAGATAATTAGAAAACCAACCCATTAACTGATTTGTTATCCAGTTGCCATAACAACGTTCAATTAAATAATTGGATTGATCCATTTGAACAGCGGCATTATATTAGATAGATTTACCATAGTTTAAATGACCAGATTGTTGCAGATAAGTTAGTATTCACTGTTGATTAATAATTTTACTTTAAAATAAATATTTACATTTAAAAGTATCCTATATATATACACACACACACACACACACACACACACACACACACACACACACACACACACACACACACACACACACACACACATGTATATGTTAAATATCAATTGTAAAGAGAAAAACTCATCAAAAAAAGTCCAACTAATTCCAACAAGTAAAATAAAACGTTCCGGTTTAAAATAATCCTTTTTATGACTTTACCATGAATTTACAGAGCTTCTGGATGACATCTTGCGGGAGAAGCCTCAGGAAGCTGATGGGATAGACTCGGTGGTTGTGGTGGACAATGTTCCTCAGGTGGGCCCAGAGCGTTTGGAAAAACTTAAAAACGTCATACACAAGATTTTCTCCAAGTTTGGCAAAATCACAACTGAGTTTTATCCAGAAGCTGACGGCATGACCAAAGGGTACGTATGACCAAACTCTCCAGTCTGTGACCTGCTTCATTGTTTTGTAAATTATATCCTTTACGTTTGAATTCAAGACAAAAAAACCCCCACTCATCCTTCCTGTAGGTACATCTTCTTGGAGTATGCTGCTCCCACTCAGGCTCTCGAGGCGGTCAAGAACGCAGACGGATACAAACTTGACAAACAACATACATTCAGAGTCAACCTCTTCACTGACTTTGATAAGTATGTTTGCAGAAATATCAAACTTCTAACATTCATCTGCGGCTGTGGAGTCCTGTTAATTATTCTTTTTTTTTTTTTTTCAGGTACATGACCATCAGTGATGAGTGGGAACCTCCAGAGAAACAGCCTTTCAAAGATTTTGTGAGTGTTACTCCTTTCTTTCACAAACTCCTCATGTGTTTGCTTCATACTTCATCAGCTTTTCGCTTCAGTGCAACAGTGAGTTTATGAAGTGCATCTTGTGCAGATGTTAAAACCTCTGTTGCCTGTGGCTCTCTGTTCAGGGCAATATGCGTCACTGGATTGAGGACCCAGACTGCCGTGACCAGTACAGTGTAATTTACGAAGCTGGAGAGAGGACAGCCATTTTTTCCAATGATGCTAAAGAATCAATCTTAGCAGAAGAGCGAGCCGTAAGTTACAGATTGCACAAGCAGTAAGGGAGGAAGTGTTAGCATGATGCACAGAAGACTTCATGTGTCTGTGTTTCCACGCAGCGCTGGACAGAGACGTACGTTCGCTGGTCTCCTAAAGGCACCTACCTGGCTACTTTCCATCAGCGAGGCATTGCATTGTGGGGCGGCGAGAAGTTCAAACAGATCCAGAGGTTCAGCCATCAGGGTGTGTCGCTCATCGACTTCTCACCGTGTGAGAGGTAATCCACATGTTACCTCTGTAGAGTCATTGCCTGCTGCTGAAGATGGTTATATTTTAGGGGGGGGTATGTTTCTGTTTGTAGCTTCAGCAAAATATCTCATGAATCACTGGACGGATTTGAATTAAATTTCAGAATGTAATCAATAGTAAAACTGAACAACGTTTGGGGTCAACCCAGTTCAAGCTGGTCACCACAGGGGATCAACTGTAGCAAACACAAAAATGTCTTTGACTGAGTCAGTTCTACAAATGATGAGCAGTAGATGTGGTAGTAGCTGAGAATCATCCCCAACATATACTTAAGCACTAACACATCTTGCAATTTTGCATGAGAGATCGTGCCAAATGTCATTTACACAGTTTGACCAAGATTTCTTATTCATTCATTCAACCTTTATTTATACAGGTTAGTCTCATTGAGTCACGAGGACTCGTTTACAAGAGAAACCTGTTTTAAACAAAGAACACAGATGTGGTACATACAACTATAAACAGTCATGAAAAGCATATAAAATGAACGGTAAATAAAAGCAGTGATATCAAATAAAATAAAAACGCAGATTTAATATTTCTAGAGATGGGAGAGAGAAATTTTCTACCATCAATTACTGCCATTTCCTCTTATCGGCTGGTAACCTCACTCACCTCAGGAAAACAGGAAGAAAGCAACGAAAAAACATATCAAATGTTCTTGTAAGTAAACATCCAGGATAGGAATGTGCAATATGGAATAAAATTCATATCACAATATGAATTGTGAAGGGTGGCAATAACGAAATATATCGCAATATGTTTTTGGTATAAAACTTGCTAAAAAAAAAAAAAAGCATAGGGTGTCCTTTTGCCATCATATATTTTGAATTAAGAAAATTCCACTACTAGGTCCAGAGAGTTTTTAAATAATAAACAAATCAAGTATTAGGCTTCTTGCTTGTAGTGCACAACAGTGCAACAGATATCAAATGTAGTTTTAGCCATATGTTTTAAACAAAAGAATATGTTGTTAACTCTTAACAGTTTCCAGTCTTATTTAATAAATGAACAGCAACAGAGCAGCATTTTACACTGAAACATTTCACCCTCCAGTGGGCGCCTCCTTCTGCTTTAATGGAGAGCTGACACAAAATGAGTCTGTGGCTCTGACCAGAGGGTCTCGCAGTAAAATCACACAACACAGCGTTCTTTTCACAGATCAGAGAGCAGGTTTGTCTAAAGCTGACCAACGCTGACTTTAAGTTTCGATGAAAACAAACAAAAAACTTCAGATGGAACTCAGCGTTTTGCGCATGCGTCAGAATACGTCAACACTACGGCAAGCCGGCTGTAGTTAGCTTGTAGCTTCGCTACTTAGCTCTCCAAGAAAAGGCTTTAACGCCACTTGCGCGCAGTTTTCAACTAAAAAAAACTAACGATTAAACTGACAACTCTGATTTTACATCAGACACAGCATTACTGCGGTTAGCCGGTAGAAGACAGATCTCGTTTCGTTGGCTAAATTTCTTTACCGTGTACCGTATATATCGCGCATTCCTAATCCAGGATTGTATCTTTTAATTATTTAAAGAACAACCAAAAAAAAAAATATATATATATATATATATATATATATATATATATATGTTTAAAGTTTACGTTTTCCCCAATCGTTTGGTACAGAAAGGAGTAAAATAATTAAGTGAAGAGGGATACACCTTTCTGTGAGGAGTGCTAGTCCTGCAGTTGTAGTTGCAATAAGGAGTCTATTTATATTGCAATATTTTCGCATTAGTTGTCTCTGGGTTTACTATAAAAAATATCTACAGGGAAATGTAAACTTAAACATTTTTTTAGTAAATTTTGGTGCTGAGATTTGTAAAAATGTCCACTAGTACTGTTATCGGCCTGCAGCCAGATGAATATGTAAATTACTTTTATTGAATTCAGTTCAGTTTATTTATACAGCGCCAAGTCACAACAGAAGTCGTCTCAGGGCGCTGAACAGAAACATCCATATGCAAAATAAGTTAACAGAAAAAAACAAACTGTTATTTAAGTAAATTTAGTGTTTTGTGATTACACAATTCTAATTAAAGGAATTAATTAGTTTGACAATCTGCGTTGTGGTGGAAACTGTTTCCCTGAGTTGTCTGAAGCTCCATGGGTGCCGTTTGTGCCTCTCAGGTATGTTGTGACCTTCAGTCCACTGATGGACACCAAGGAGGATCCACAAGCCATCATCATCTGGGACATCCTGACTGGACAGAAGAAGAGAGGCTTCCACTGCGAGAGCTCTGCGCACTGGCCCATATTCAAGTCAGAACAACGTGTTTTTGTTCTTGTTAAAAAGCCTAAATTCAAATGTGCAACTTGATCGATGTGTGGGTGTGTTGTAAATTGTATTTACTCTCAGGTGGAGCCATGATGGGAAGTTCTTTGCTAGGATGACTCCAGACACTCTGAGCATTTATGAAACTCCAGTAAGTTGACTTAATAAATATGTATATATATATATATATATATATTAGTGTGTGAAAGTGATCCTAAAGACACATTTCTGCTGTTTTTAGTCAATGGGCCTGTTGGAAAAGAAGAGTCTCAAGATTACTGGCATCAAGTAAGAGTCTTTTATGAACTGTCTATGCTGCACACTTCTCTAACTGTATCCTGTAGTGAGACATTGCTTGTCTTACAGGGACTTCTCGTGGTCTCCTGGTGACAACATCATAGCGTTCTGGGTACCCGAGGACAAGGACATCCCGGCACGAGTCACTCTGATGCAGCTGCCTTCCCGCCAGGAGATCCGTGTTCGTAACCTCTTCAATGTTGTGGACTGCAAACTGCACTGGCAGAGAAATGGAGATTATCTGTGCGTGAAAGTAGACAGAACACCCAAAGGAACTCAGGTACTGAAAGAAAGAAACTAATCATTGTGTTATATTGGTTTCAGTGTAAAAAGAGAGAGGCTAAATTGTATTAATTTATTTTGTCCTCAGGGTGTTGTTACCAACTTTGAAATTTTCCGAATGAGAGAGAAGCAGGTTCCTGTCGATGTGGTAGAAATGAAAGGTAAGATGAGGGCCATCACATACACACTTTTCTTGGTAATTTTGTCTTACAGAAATTATTATTATTTATTTTATTTTTTTTTTTGAAATTTTAGAAGGAATTATTGCTTTCGCCTGGGAGCCCAACGGCAGCAAGTTTGCTGTTCTCCACGGAGAGTCTCCGAGAATCAACGCCTCCTTCTATCATGTCAGAAACAACGGCAAGATAGAGCTCATAAGTGAGTAGATCAGACAAATATAAGTAATGGGAGCTTACATGTACTGAAAATGTATGTTAAATGCATAATATATTTTTCTTTCACAGAGATGTTTGACAAGCAACAGGCCAACAGCATTTTCTGGAGCCCCCAGGGACAGTTTTTAGTGCTGGCTGGACTCCGGAGGTTAGATTTCCAAGTGTTTGTGAGAGAAAACCAAAACGCCACTGATGATAAACCTTTCTGACACCTCATATGAGAGCTAAGCTCCTGATTCTAAAGCTGTTCTGAGGCTCGTAGTGTTTTTGTCTTTCTCAGGCATGACGAATGCTTTAAGCGCTTCTAATGGTCACGTTTTGTGTGTTCAGTATGAACGGAGCTCTTGCCTTTGTGGACACCTCCGACTGCATCATGATGAACATCGCAGAGCACTACATGGCATCTGACGTCGAATGGGACCCGACCGGTCGATACGTTGTCACCTCTGTGTCCTGGTGGAGCCACAAGGTATCTGTTTACTTCAACAGCACTTGATGTTCGTATCGTCTCTTCTTTAATGGACAGGTGAAAACATCTGAACATGTTTGCGTTTAGGTGGACAATGCGTACTGGCTGTGGACGTTTCAGGGCCGTCTCCTTCAGAAGAACAACAAAGACCGCTTCTGTCAGCTGCTCTGGAGACCCAAACCTCCCAGTCTGCTCAGTGGAGATCAGATTAAGGTACCATTCCATCTATGACCTGTCCATGTGAAGCCTGTGATGACAACTATTTCTGACACCTCGAATGAGAGCTGCACCTCAGCTCCTGATTCTAACTCTGATCTGAGGCTCATGAATGCAACTTACTATATATTTTTTCAAATAAAAAACTTCTTGTTCTCTTTCTTTGTGGCATTTTAGTTGCCTTCTTGTTCTTTATTCAACTTGTGTTCCGTTGCAGATGATCAAAAAGGATCTTAAGAAATATTCGAAGATCTTTGAGCAGAAGGATCGTCTGAGCCAGTCCAAGGCTTCCAAGGTTTGAATTTCGTTTCCAACTCTCCCCCTTTCTTGAAACATTTGCTCCTCATTGACCAGTTTAAACCAGTGTTTTAAGTGCAAGTCATTGACTGAGCCTGCTAACAAGTCTAATGCTTCACGTGTAAAGCTGCGCAAACATAAAAGCTGAACGTGCGTGTGCTTGTGAGTAGGAGCTGGTGGACAAGCGCAGGGCCATGATGGAGGAGTACCGTCAATACAAGGAGGCAGCGCTGCAGGTCTACATCGAACAGAAGGACATGCGCCTTGAGCTCAGAGGAGGTGCAACCTCTTTCTTTACTAAAACTCCACTTCCTCTGGTCTCTGAACCGTACTTCAAAATGTTTTCTTTGTACCTTTCAGGTGTGGACACTGATGAGCTTGACAGCAACGTGGACGACTGGGAGGAGGAGACCATTGAGTTTTTTATCAACGAAGAAATCATTCCCCTTGGAGATCTGTAGTCTACTACGCAGGTAGCTACACTGTCATTGTTGAGGTGACACAAATATATCCTGGAACAATTACAAAACATTTGAAAACAGTATTTAGATTGAAGCAGGTTGCTGTAGTTGGTTCCTGGCTAAATTGTTAGTAAATACCTTTTATTTTGACATAGCAACTGTTAAAGAAACATTTAGAGACTTTCTGTTTTGTCAGAATTTTATTCTTTTTTTATGTATCAAATGTACAAGAGTTGAAAATTAAGCTTCCCCAAACAAATACATAATCTTTTGTTTCTAAAAAGGGTCTGTTCTGTGTGTCGGGCATATTAGGAAATAATTTGTGACAAGCAAAAACACAAATTGGGCTTGTTGACCATATTTACAATGACGTTTCTCAAGACGGTACGAAGCTCTTCAATCTGTGCTTGGCACAGTTTTATCCGATCTTGGATCCTAAAGCCAGGCGTGCAAAATATTTGACAGTTTCCCTTTATCAATGCAAACAGGCCACAGAAGTGGTCTTTGTTCTTGTATTATCTAATGGGGGTGTAACGCTCATTCTGACACACTAGGGAAGGAGGGGGGACAAATTAAATAGACTAAATTATAAGTAGTGTTTGCAACAAAACGTAACTGATCAAAGTAGTGCTAAATAGTAACTTTTAGAAATTTTACAATGACACATTTCTAGACAAAGATGTAAAAATCAAATGACACTGTCTCCCGCTGCTGACGTGCAACATGGTACAGCCCAGTTAGAGTGATCTCTAGATGTGATGCAGCTGGGCCGTTCCAGTGAGTGTCAAGACGACTTCAGCAGCATCTCTAAAGGAACCGGCAACCCAAAGAAACAAAAGTTAAATCATTGCAAATGACAAACTGCAGCAAGACTTGACAAAGGAAGTTATCTAAATGTTTGCTCTCCAAGTAGTAAACAACCATATCAAATGTTGCTAAAGTGTGAAAATAAACTGCATAAATATATAAATGCTCAGTTATTGAGCTTAGATTGTCTAAACTTGTGCATATTTACAATCAGAAAAAACACAAGATACCAAATTTTACCTGTGTTCACTGTGTGGCTGCAGGTACTGCTGTCACAGTCAATATTTTATTTACCGTATTATTCACTGTAGAAGTCTGTTTTTTTGCATAATTTGCATGCCCTGCGACTTATAGGCCGAAGCGACACATTTATAATTTTTTTCCCCCCATATTTATAAACCAGTTTTTGCCTGAGAAATGATGTTCTTCATTCTGACTGGAAAAAAATTGAACAACATTTTCAGCCACTAGATGGCAGCAGAGTAGTAAGGTGTGCCATGTAATGGGGGAAAGTGGCTATAATGACAAATTGTATACTTTATTATTTTTGTCTTGAAATTTTTTGAATTTCCTTGTCCTGGATGACTGAGAATCTTGACCAGCTATTAATGACACAATTGGCTTGCCACAGCCTGCCATCTTCGTTCTGCTTGCTGCTCGGAGCAACTGTCAAACCGTCATTTCCCTGCACTGCCCCGGCGAAATGCAGCTAATTTGACCTTGTATTTATTTAGGCACTGCAGCCTATGCTTATTCTCAGTCATTTTATCAGCATGCAAATTATTTGTTTGATTTTAATCGTCGTTTCCCCTTTTTTATCGTTGCATGTTGTAAACGTTTTTACTTCTGTGCATGTGAGAATCATAAATGGATCTGAATCTTTTTCGCTGGTTTGTCACCGATAGGTCAAAATATGTTAAAAGAACAACGTACTGGTCTTTACGACTTAAAAATAATTATTTGAAAACATTTGCATTCCTGCAGGCTCAAGCAGCCACAAAATAAATATTCTTTAAAAACACTTGTTTTTGCAGGATATTGAATCTGTTTTATTTGTTCTTGTTTTTTTGCAGTCCATCTGTTGTTGTGTGAAACAAGAGGAAAGGAGCGGCGTCACTGATTGGAGAAGGACGACGGCCTCACTGTGAAACTTGGGTTCACCTTGAGCCCCGGTTTAGGGGACTCATCAAAGCACGCCTTGTGGATCAACGTCCACATTAAGGGAAAAGAAGATATTTATATTACATTTTCTTCTTTGCCTCACAATCGCCTACCCAGTTATCTTCTCTGTGGAACTTGATATTTAGTAATACTGCCTCTATTTCTAATCATTGATTGGTGTCACCCCGATCTCATTGGACCTTCTTCCTCCTTTGTGGGGTTGATTTGGAGCCGGCCTCATCATGCTGTTGTGTTGCAGCAGCGCAGCAACGAGTGCCCTATCAATGCAGGGTGAAGGTGTTGAAGCTAAACAAGTAGCCTCTACTATAAATGTGCTGACGTGGTGTCATAGTGGCCTGTATCCTCCTCCTTTCAGACTATGCTTTCACACAGGGAGGGGGTGCGCAGTAGGATTAAATTTAAATAAATATTCAAACACAAGTACAGCTTGGCTCCGACTCCGTTTGTGCTTCGTTTTGTAGGAAATGTTCTGCTTTGGTGGCATATTCAGACTTGTCACTAATAACCAACTGAAAAAACAAGTCCGGTTACAAACGAGTAGCAACCTGACACACGCCCGATCTTTTTAAATTAGACGAGCTGCTGTTTGAGTTAAATAATAGTTTCATGTTTTAAGGCTATGATGCAGAAGATCTTTGTATTTTCTAGCATTTTGTAAAATGCCAACATCTAACTTTCATAATGTTTCTTGCATAAATAAAAAAAAAAAACATTTATTGACAAACTTAATGAATGTGTATCTGGATGGATCTGTCTACATTCCTTCATCATAGCTGATAGAATAACTATAAAAAACGATGTTGATGCAACAGGTGAAGCAATGTACAGATGGTCTACATTGTACACGGCAAACTTGATTTATTTTTGTCATCTTTAAAATATTTTGATGGTGTGAAAACTGCTTTATAGTTTTTTGGTTATTTTTGTTGTTTGACTCCTTAAATGTTGCATTGAAATCTATTTAAACACTCGTTAAGAACTAATATTTGTAGAATCTTGATTTACAGTAGAAATAAACTGAATTTGATTGCTATGCAGACTAAAATGTTCTTGGTTTATGAAACCAGTACCGTTTTACCAAATTGAATGTCCAGATCATAAAGGGAGCTGTTGGAGGCCATAAAGTGAGGGTACCACATGAGATTCTAGTTGAAGGTGACTATCATTTGTATCACGTGGTTCATGAGGTGGAGCGAAATTGTGTACTCAAGGTCTCATTTACACCCAAAAATAGAAATACAGTAATATAAACGATAGCCCCACAGTGTGGGACCCAACTATCCTACAAGATGACGTTTGGCCCCAAACGGTTCCTCTGGTGGTCCATACATCACTGATGGATCTGATCACGTCCCGCACAGACGTGAGCTGTCAAATATTCAAACCAAAAGAGGTGTGGAGCAGAACGCATTAAATGTGTGATAGGTGGAATGGAATGGAACTCCATTTTTATAGCAGTTGTGTGACCAAGCTGATGAGGAGTGCCAGGCTGTTGTGGCTGTGTATGGTTGTTCCTAGGGATGCACAATATTTCACCAATACCAATATTTTTCCCTTGACCTACTTGCAGAGACTACATAGTTTTCTCTGCTGTGGAATTTAAATACCACATTATTCTGCATGGTCTTTTGTCAATTTGGCCTTGCTACCAAATAAAAGGGGGGCTGAAAATGATGTAATGCTTCAACTTGGATTATGTTTAATGTCAAATTTATTCATGACATTTACTCTCTAACACATTGAAAACACTCGAACAGTGCAAATTTGTAAATTTTCACAAATCTAAACTCAACGGCGCGCATGATGTCCTAACGTGCAGGCGCTGCAGGCATCCTCGTCACTGAGTTGTCATACAAAAACAGCGCCTTTTATATCGGTGAGTTATTTTGATGGAATTTCCAATATTTAACTTGTCGCCAATATACATATATAACATATATCCAGACGTAATTTAAACGTCGAATAAAGACGTAATTTAGACGTCGGGAATAGACGTAATTTAAACGTCGAATAAAGACGTAATTTAAACGTCGAATAAAGACGTAATTTAGACGTCGGAAA